TTACATTGATGAACTGGAGCTAGTTCCGTGTCATCCTATGTTGTAGCTGTTACATGATCGATCGCTTTCCATATATTGTTCTTCGCTTATTTACTTTTCCGTTGCTACTGTTACAATCACTACAAAAACCCAAAACATTACTTTTGCTACCGTTACCACCACTATCATATTACTTTGCTACTAAATACTTTGCTGCAGATATTAAGTTATCTAGGTGTGGTTGAATTGACAACTCAACTGCTAATACTTGAGAATATTCTTTGGCTCCCCTTGTGTGGAATCAATAAATTTGGGTTGAATACTCTACCTTCGAAAACTGTTGCGATCCCCTATACTTGTGGGTTATCATTTCCCTTCTCACCCATTATTGCCCTGCTTTGCTCGGCTGCTCCTGCCGAGGACCCAGGCCTGCTTCATTGGATTTTTTTCAAAATTGTGATGATTTTATAGCAAATTCGGAATCTATATGTCCTCACATAAGAAAAATCAAAACTAGCACCTTGTCGGCCTCTAGTTGGCCAAAGAGGGGCTCTTCGGCCTGCGATTGACCGAAGTGGCCTCTTCAGCCTCCCGTTGGCCGAAGATTACCCCAACTGGGCCGAAAAGGACTCTTTGGTGTGCCGTAGGCCAAAGAGTACTCTTTGGTCAACCGTAGGCCAAAGAGTACTCTTTGGGGCCTAAGGCCTAGCATAGATAGAAGAGCGCAACCATGCAGCTTCGGCCTCCCGTTAACGCTGAAAGTTGGGGCCCAAGGACACTTCAGCCTACGGTTGACCAAAGAGTGCTCTTCGGCCTACGGTAGACCAAAGAGTCCTTTTCAGCCCAGTTGGGGCACTCTTCGGCCAACGAGAGGCTGAAGAGCCCACTTCAGTCAACCATAGGCTGAAGAGCCGCTCTTCGGCCAACTGGAAGCCAACGGGGTGCTAGTTTTATTTTGGTGCGTAAGGACATATAGATTCCGAATTTGCTATAAAAATCATCACACTTTTGAAAAAAAATCGCTTCAGTGCTTCTCTTCATCTCCTGGCTCGGTGGCTCCTGCAGTCCTGCTCTCAGTCGTGCTTGCTCTTGATTCTTGACCAGGGATCAGCCAATCTGATTCACATATTCAGGTAAATGGTTGCTACACTTGTCAATTCTTCCTGCAGTCCCGCTTCAATCCACAAACTAGCAAGTCGATTCTCATCCTGTATCCGTGTCGAATTGATGCTCCAGATTTTTTTTGCTTTGGTAATTTGGTTGTGTAATTTGTGATTCTATGAAGAGTTCCTTGTTCCCTGTTCGCTAGTAGCTCTCCCATCTTCCACCTTCTTAATTTAATTATCCATTATCTTGTATTTGTTCCTATCTATGATTATGTCGAACTTATACAGTATGTTCATTCTCCATGAGTCCATTCCAATCTGCAGGCAGCAGCTATGGAGAGGAAAGCAGGGCCAAACACCATAAAGATTAATGCCTTTTCTAAGCCGGTTACTTCAAGTTCTCAACCTACTGAAATTGTTAGTGAGGCGGATGTGCAAGTTACAAATCCGAGTCCAGTTAACACTTCTGATCAGGATATGCCGGACGTGGTAAATGTTGTATAACAAGCAGAAATTATAACCACACCTTATCAGAGAGACCTCGGCAAGCGTTGTCAAATTTGGGAGCTCCCACCGGACAAGCAAGATGATGCTCAGAATTTTTATATATCTAAGGGAGCATATCGACCGGAGTTGGAAGAGTACCCATTTGATGAAAATTCTAAACACCGTCGTCGATTTCAAAAAGATTGGTACACAAATTTCTGGTGGCTTGAGTATTCAACACACAGTGATAACGCATATTGTTTGTCGTGCTTCTCTTCTCAAAAGAACCTGTTGGGAGATGTGGGTCTGATACATTCTCGGTCAAGGGTTTTAGAAACTGGAAAAGGTTAACGATGGAAAAACATGTGTTTTGTAAACTCATGTTGGGGGCCCGCACTCTGCTCACAACTATTCCACTCGGTGCTATGAAGATCTCAAGACCAGTATGGCTCATATCGACAAGATGATGGAAAAGAAAAATGAGAAAGTAGCTACTAATGCGAGATTGAGGCTTAAGACTACCATCGATGCCATGAGGTAAGCAAGTTTTTTACATCAACTAAAATTTCACATGACTTAATGTTTTGATATCTAACATCTAGTCGCTTTGTCCCATTAGGTGGCTGATATTCCAAGCTTGTTCTTTTAGAGGTCATGATGAATCTGCGAGGTCTAAAAACCAAGGAAATTTTCTTGAAACGGTTAAGATTCTTGCTTCATACAATAAGGATGTCGCGGGAGTTGTTCTGGAAAATGCTCCAGGTAATGCAAAGTATACATCCGGAGAAGTTCAGAAAGAGATTGTTGGCATACTTGCTATAGAAGTGCAAAAGGCAATTAGAGAAGAAATAGGTAATGCCAAGTTCTGTATAATGGTTGATGAACCTCGGGGTGAATAAAAAAAGAACAAATGGCAATTGTTCTTCGGTTTGCCAACAAAGAAGCAGAAATAATTGCGTGTTTCCTTGATCTAGTTCATGTTAATGACACTGCTGCCTTAACTTTGAAAAATGCAATCTGTAATGTACTGTCAGATAATAACATGAATGTACAAGACATCAGGGGCCAAGCATATGACGGTGCAAGTAATATGAGAGGGGAGTGGAATGGATTGAAGGCTCTTATTCTCTGTGAGTGTCCATATGCCTACTATATTCATTGTATGGGTCATCAATTACAATTGGCGCTTGTTGCTGCATCACGAGAGGTACATGAGGTACATAACTTCTTTAAGAATGCAAATTTTGTAATAAAATGTTGTTAGTGCTTCTAGAATGCACAATGATGAGCTGCCAGCAAACCAAGCGGAGGAAATTTCTCATGAAATTGAGTTGGGAGAGCTTGATACAGGCAAAGGGCAAAACCAAATAGGAACCTTACAGAGACCAGGAGACACAAGATGGAGTTCACACTATAAGTCCATACAGAGCTTAAAGAAGATGTTTGTTGCTACAATTGTCGTCTTAAGAGGTATAGCAAGTGACCGTTCAGTCTCAAAATATTCTCGTGGAGATGTCGTTGGATCCCTTAAAATTGTCATATCATTTGATTTCGTGTTCATTCTACATCTGATGGAAAAGATTATGAAGATCAGTGATGTGTTGTGTCAGAAACTCCAATACAAATCTTTAGATATTTTAAATGCCATGGATTTTGTTTCTAACACAAAGGTCCTACTGGGTGAGCTAAGGGAACATGGTTGGGACTCTCTTTTAAATGAGGTCAAATCTTTTTGTGTGAAGCACGAGATTGATATCCCAGATTTGGACCGCAAGTATGTTTTTCTACTTTCTAAAATTACTTAACTTATATTAAGTTATATCTTGGTTGTTTTTTATCTTCAGAATTTAGCTGACTTTGTAATGAAATTAATAGGTATGTTGATGTTACCAAATCTCGAAATAAGCATGATAACACAACAACGCTCCACCACTACAAAGTTGATGTTTTCAGTGTTGCAATTGATCAACAACTGAGTGAACTGAATGATCAATTCAGTACACAAGCAACTGAGCTCCTTACTCTCTGTTCATCATTGGATCCAAGGCATGAATCTTTTGACATCCCAAAGATAAACAGGCTTGTAGAAAAATTCCATCCCACTGATTTTTCAAGTCAAGAATTAGCACGGTTGGAAAGTCAGCTACCTCATTTTCAGCTAGATGTGTGCAACCATCCAGAACTGATGACCTTGCCATCTATTGCTTGTTTAACAAAAGGGCTAGTTAAAACCGGAAAAGCTTCTTCATATCCAATGGTTGACAGGTTGTTGCGACTAGTTATCACTCTCACAGTCTCAACGGCAACTGCAGAGCGGGCTTTTTTGGCTATGAAAATTGTCAAGGCACGTCTTTGAACTAAAATGGGAGATGATTTGCTTTGCCATTGCATGATAATTTACATAGAAAAAAAATAGCAGTTAAGATATCTTCTGATGAAATTATTAATATTTTTGATCTTATTGGCAATAGTGGAGGCCACTTTAAATTAATAGAAATGTAATGATATTTTTATGTC